CGCCCCGCGAGCAGCAGCAGCACCGCCCCACCCGCCTTGGCCCCGCCCCTTCCCGCTCAGGCCCCGCCCACGGCCCCGCCCTGGTGAGGTCACACCCGTGAGGTCACAAGCATGAGGTCACACCCGGGCTATCACACCAGTGAGGTCACACCTGGGCGGTCACACCCACACAGCCACACCCACACAGCCACACCCACACAGCCACACCCACACAGCCACACCCATGGCACACACACCCCCATGGTCTGGGGCACCCCCTCACCACATCCCTGGTGTGACTCTGCCACGGGTATGATGTGCACATGAGTGAGCACAGGCGTGTCCCTGCACAGGTGTGTGTCCCCACACAGGTGTGTCCCCTCACAGGTGTGTGTCCCCGCACAGGTGTGTCCCCACACAGGTGTGTCCCCGCACAGGTGTGTCCCCGCACAGGTGTGTCCCTGTACAGGTGTGTGTCCCCGCACAGGTGTGTCCCCTCACAGGTGTGTGTCCCCGCACAGGTGTGTCCCCACACAGGTGTGTCCCCGCACAGGTGTGTCCCCGCACAGGTGTGTCCCTGTACAGGTGTGTGTCCCCGCACAGGTGTGTCCCCTCACAGGTGTGTGTCCCCGCACAGGTGTGTCCCCACACAGGTGTGTCCCCGCACAGGTGTGTCCCCGCACAGGTGTGTCCCTGTACAGGTGTGTGTCCCCGCACAGGTGTGTCCCCTCACAGGTGTGTGTCCCCGCACAGGTGTGTCCCCACACAGGTGTGTCCCCGCACAGGTGTGTCCCCGCACAGGTGTGTCCCTGTACAGGTGTGTGTCCCCGCACAGGTGTGTCCCCTCACAGGTGTGTGTCCCCGCACAGGTGTGTCCCCACACAGGTGTGTCCCCGCACAGGTGTGTCCCCGCACAGGTGTGTCCCTGTACAGGTGTGTGTCCCCGCACAGGTGTGTCCCCTCACAGGTGTGTGTCCCCGCACAGGTGTGTCCCCACACAGGTGTGTCCCCGCACAGGTGTGTCCCCGCACAGGTGTGTCCCTGTACAGGTGTGTGTCCCTGCACAGGTGTGTCCCCTCACAGGTGTGTCCCTGCACAGGTGTGTCCCCTCACAGGTGTGTCCCCACACAGGTGTGTCCCTGTACAGGTGTGTGTCCCTGCACAGGTGTGTGTCCCCGCACAGGTGTGTCCCTGTACAGGTGTGTGTCCCCGCACAGGTGTGTGTCCCCTCACAGGTGTGTCCCTTTACAGGTGTGTCTCTGTCCAGGTGTGTCCCTGCACAGGTGTCCCCTCACAGGTGGGTCCCTGCACAGTTGTGTGTCCCCGCACAGTTGTGTCTCTGTCCAGGTGTGTCCCTGCACAGGTGTGTATCCCTGCACAGGTGTGTCCCTGCACAGGTGTGCCATGTACATACAAGCACACAGCTATGTCTGTACCCAAGTGTGTTCATGTCCAGGTGTTTCCATGTCCAGGTGTTTCCATGCCCAGCTGTGTCTATTCCCAGCTATGTCCATTCCCAGGTGTTTCCATTCCCAGGTGTTTCCATTCCCAGGTGCTTCCCACCCAGGTGTGCCGCTGCCCCCACCCCACACCTGCACACCCCACACCTGTGTGTGGCCCCCGGCTGCCGGAGCCCCCAGGGCCGTTGTGACCCCGCGCACGCCGGAGCAGATTCCCGGTGTCCCCACG